AGTGCTTGACAGTACCACTGTGGACAAACTGTGTGATGATCTAAGGAGAGATTCAAGAAAACGAAGCTTGGGCTGTGAGAGAGGCAAAACCAGTAAGTGCCAGCTTATGCCACTGGTGGTCTTGGACCCTCAAGAAGTGCCAGTGTGGCTGAGGAGCATGAAATGCAACGAAAAGGTAGATACTCAACCTGCCTGCCAGCAGTCACTATCTCCTTTGGGCCTTCAAGGAGTCTTGGAGAATAAAAATAAAAGGACCAAGGTCATTTCTGGAGAGGGAAGTAGCTGCAGAAAAGCTTGTATCAGCGGCTTCAGTGCCAGCCGCTGGGGGAGGCAACCAAGGCTCCGTCCAAAAAGGCACAAAAAAAAGAGCCGGCAGCAGCCTAATAACTCCTTTTTCAGACCCCCGATGAGGCAAAAAGGAATGGAGAATGTTGGTTTGGAGCTGTCTGTAGATGTAAGAGACAATGACCATTCATTCTTCAATAGCTCCTATTCCTATGGTAGAGTTCGGTCGTCTTTGTCCTTCCATAAGAAGAAGAAAGTTACCACAGAAAAGAGTTTCACTGACAGCATTCTCAATTCCCCTTCTGTGAAATCCCAGCTTTCAGGGTACCCAGGGACTCTAGCTGCCGGTAAGGCTCAGGAGTCTGCTTCTTCCATGCTCCTGCTGGCTCCCAGCAATTCCTGTTCTATCCTGGAGCTCATGTTTACAGATGCAGAGAAGGTGTTTGGGGAATGCCAGCAGGAGGGGCCTATCACTTTTGAGGAATGCATTCCCTTAGATAAGATGAAAGATTGCAAGAAAATTGGAGAAGGGGTGTTTGGAGAGGTCTTCCAGATTGATAGTGAGAGAGGACCTGTGGCCTTAAAAATAATACCCATTGAAGGGACTCAAAGGGTAAATGGTGAAGCTCAAAAGAGTTTTGGAGAGATTCTGCCCGAGATAATAATTTCAAAAGAACTCAGTCTTCTGTCTGAAGAGTCTGCGAACAGGACTGTTGGGTTCATCAGCTTGTACTCGGTGCACTGTGTTCAAGGCGCCTATCCTAAGTACCTCCTGGAAGCCTGGGACAAATACCACAAAGCAATGGTATCAGAAAACGATCGGCCAGACCTTTTCGACGATGAGCAGCTCTTTGTGGTTCTGGAGTTTGAATTTGGAGGCAGTGACTTGGAGACTATGAGGAAAAAGCTCAGTTCAGTGGCATCAGCAAAAAGCATTTTGCACCAGGTCACTGCTTCCCTGGCTGTGGCAGAACAGGAACTGGCCTTTGAGCACAGAGACTTGCACTGGGGGAACGTGCTGGTAAAGACAACTGATGTAAAGGAGCTCGATTATGTGTTGAATGGGGAAACGCACACAATCCCCACAGCAGGGATTCATGTCAACATCATAGACTATACCTTGTCTCGGCTGGAGAAGGACGGGTTAACCGTGTTTTGTGACCTTTCCACTGAAGAAGAACTATTTCAAGGCACAGGGGACTACCAGTTTGACATCTACAGGCAAATGAAAGCAGAGAATTCCAACAGCTGGACTGACTATCACCCACACAGCAACGTCCTCTGGCTGCACTACTTGTCAGGTAAACTTTTGAAAGATGTTTGCTACAGAAAAAAAGAATCAAATTCTGCCTTGAAGAAAATAAAGCAGCAGCTCGGGAAGTTCCATAGAGAAGTACTAACCTTTGAGTCTGCCAATGAAGTTTTACAAAACAGCAGCCTCTTCCAGTGAGCAAGGGAGGGCAGTGTTTCCGAGAACTAAGTCACTGATACGACCTTTCTCCTTTGCTGTTTCTTACGTATGATCTTCTTGAACATTGGCACAATGAAGAAGTGTTATGACTGGTTACCAGTGTGTATAATACGCCACCAAAAATGCCTAATAAAACCCCCCAAAATAATATTCTGCTTTAAGATTTTTCCGAGGGGTGATAGCAGGCAGAGAACAGAGTTGATGTTTAAAAAGGGGGGAGGGGGGGGCGGGGGAAGACTTCTTCAGGCTCAATTAATGTTTTGAGTTCCACGGAAGTTTTTTTACCTTTTTAGTCTGAGATTTTTATTAAAAGTTCTTTCCTTACTATATTGTCTTTCTTACAAATGCTTTTTTAAAAAGAAAAATAAATACAATTCTGGACAGTGAGGACAAAAGTAAACCTTCTTAGCACAGCTGGGGACAGAGAAGGGAAAAAACCCACTTTTTAACTTAATTTTTAAAATGAATTTTTGTTCAATCTGGCAAAATTTGTACCTGGAATGATCACAGAATCATAGACTGGTTTGGGTTGGAAGGGACCTTAAAGCCCATCCCATTCCACCCCCTGCCATGGGCAGGGACACCTCCCACCAGCCCAGGTTGCCCAAAGCCTCATCCAGCCTGGCCTTGAACCCCTCCAGGGATGGGGCATCCACAGCTTCTCTGGGCACCCTGGGCCACTGCCTCACCCCCCGCACAGGAAAACATTTCTTCCTAATATCTAGTTTAAATCTACTCTCCTTCAGCTTAAAACTGTTACCCCTCACCCTATCCCTACATGCTCCATCCAGAGCCCCCCCATCTCTCCCGTAGCCCCCTCTCAGCACTGGAAGCTGCTCGAAGGTCTTCCCGGAGCCTTCTCTTCTCCAGGCTGAGCAACCCCAGCTCTCTCAGCCTGTCCTCATACATGAGGTGCTCCAGCCTCTGACCATCTTCGTGGCTCACGAAGAGGGATTGGATGCTCCAGCCTCTGACCATCTTCGTGGCTCACGAAGAGGTATTGGATTAGGAGAAAAAAATAAGAAAAAGTACCTGTGTTCCTGATGCATTTTTGACCGCTATTATGTTGTGACCTTGTGTACTGATTGGAACCCAAATCTGTAGCTTGATGGTAGCATTAAAGCGATTTTCTCCATTTTATCTACAGGAGAGAATGCACAAGGTAATAAGTGTTCTTTAGTCCTGACTGCAGATAGATCAGATAACCGAAATTTGAAGTTCTACTTCCATTAAATTTGAATTCTTTATTTTCAAGAAGTCCTTCGCTAACATTCACATACATTGAAGAAACTGGTCTAAAGAGAACAATAAATTGAACTAAGTGAAAAGTGAATTAATTATTATTAAAAATTAGTACATCCACTGACCCAGACGCATTAAGAGGTAGCGTCATCAGGTTTGTTATAACTGGAATGCTGTCTATGTGGTCTGTCTATATATGCAATCATCAGTCAGATGCATCCTTGAACCCATCCTGAAGTCTACTTTTTACAAGCTAAGGTGTTAGAGGCCCTAGGTACCCCCCTGCCTATGATTTTATTGTTCTGTCTTCCAGACTCTTTACTTTTGCTGTCTAGTACCACAGAAAGTGACCTGACAATCTGCAGTGCTTGAAATTAAGATGGAAATTGTACTGGAATGCTACTAGGCATCTTCTTAGTCATTTTTTCTCTAATTGACTAAAGTAATGCAATGTAATTGAATATTCTTAAAGCTTACTTGGTAAGGACGGCAGTGAATGCATAGCTGACATCAAGGATGTGTTCCTCAGCCAGAATGGTGCTATTTTCAATTATGCTTTTAAAAAAAAAAAAGGCAGGATGGATGAAGCAATGTTGTTATCTGCCGTGGTCCTTTATTTCCATGGTTTGACAACGGCTAATACTGGCTGTACAAGAGGGATGGAGGCAGAGTGACAGTAATTAATGAGAGGAGAGGTGCCAGCCCGCTTGGCGACATGGTGCTGGAGTAGCCCTTTATTACTGCAGACTTTGAAAGCTGCCGTTGCCTTGAAATGTTTCCCCACAAACCAACGCTAATTTGTGAATAGGTAGTATTGCTTTTATGAATTGAAATGTAAAGCTTTTACCCCTCATGACACTGGACATTAAATTAATACAGAAACTGTATCCCTTAAACTGTGCTGCCAGAGGTGAGTTCTCATTTCCTTTTTAAAGGTGCTCTGTTTAAAAAATGCTGTGTACTAGTCAGTTGCCATCAATTTTAATGGCAGGAATGTGACAAGACAGGAATCTGAATAGTAACTTTCCCACATTAGAAAGCACCTAACCCAGAGAAATGCCCTGAACATACGTTCTCATCCCAATCCTTTGGAAGGAAAGCTTTACTTGGAACAGAGCTGGATTAGATATGTTACTCATCTGCTCTCTCTGCTAAGGAAGGAGGATGTCAGAACCCAGTCTGCCATTTCAGAAAACACAAGTTTTTAAATACGTACTACGCTTAAATTAGGACCTTAAAGGGTGCTCTACCTTTTAATGAAATAATGAAGTACGAGCAAAGCTAAAATTATCATAAGGAAAGATTTTTCACATGGATCCAAATGCTTTAGAGGGTTGAACAAGACAAATACAGTTTTGTGCAACCAGTGACTGACAAACAGCATGGACACCACGTAGGGATTCTGGTATTTCCTTTCTAGTTCACAGTGTGTTCTGTGGTGAATATAGCAATACCCACTTGGTGATATTAACAAGTGATTGCAGACTTATTTTGGAATATGCTCTCATCTAATTGCCAAATCACTGAGAATTTTGCCTATTTTGAGGGAAGCGAAAGACACAACAAAATATCGATTACCCTGTAAATACTCTTTAACTCACCAGGGTACTGTTAAAATGTGATGGCTAATGTATTTCCTGCTTGTCATTACCTTTTGGAGAAATTAGACATTAAGTAAAGTGCAGGAACATGAAAGTTATCTCTTGCCTTGAGAAAATGATGAATTTGAAAGACTAGAGGCTCTGGGCTAATTGTAGAGCTAGAGGATGCAAGAGCACCTACTCAAAATTTCATTTAGAGGTAGGGAAAAAGTAAAAATAATGACCTCTACTTACAGTTGTCTTCTTGAATACTGGATGCCCAGTTCTGCAGTTACAGGATAAGGCTAGAGAAGTTAATGGTATTGGTTGGCCACAGTGAATAGCCGGAGACGATGGCTGCCAACAATAGGAGTGCTCTTTAATGCTGAATAAAAACACACTGAGAAATTCAGCTCAGTCTGTGTCTGCTCCTATAAAACAAATTAGGTACAAATAGCCCCATAAAAGCTTGGCAAGTCTTAAATCAGATAAATCCAGTATTCAGTCTCTAGTCCTAACAACCGAAATGCTCCTTCCCTCCCCTGGACCTTACTTCAAGATTTATTTAGGTAGTGAATGAACAGCAGTCTGCACTGGGTTTTCTTTCAGCAGTCTGCTGCTAGGTGAAGAGTTGTTCTGCGATCTAACCTCAACAGTCACCTTCTTAAAATGTCAGTTTTTAGGATAGTTCAAGACCATGGTTGTCAAATACGAGTCATCACTGTTAGTGAAACTTTCATGGTCCCTTACTTACTGTGGCCCACCACTAATTCGTTTTTAGAAGCAGACAAAAAATGAGATGGGTGACGTGTAATTTCTAAGGGTTGTTGTTTAATAGGAGGCCTTAAGCGTTCTGTTCTGGTAACTCCTCCCTCCAAATGCTTTCAGATACAGGACAGTGTAATAGCCCAATTAATTATTCAATATTCTTCAGGGTGTGTAGGAAAATGTTTCCTTCTTAAAACTGAAAGCAGTCATCTCCAAACTACAGAGCATTTCACCATTTCTGGTTAACATTAAGACAGATTTTAAACGTTGTTCCTCTTGATTAGCTTTTCAGTGATTCTGCAGGGTAAATTTTTTACAATGAAGTGATGCCTGCTGTTTTGTCTAAGGCTATGTAAACGGTGCATCAGCCTAAAACAAAATCACATGTTCACAACTGAATGCCAGAATCGTCATTTTAGAATAACTATAGTTGTTTAAACCTTGGTCTTTCCTCTGAGATTTCCTTGAACAGCACAGCAACGCCCATGGAGGCGTACAGTTACAGCGCTGCACGAACGTGATGGGAAGGATGAACGGGATGGAGAGTAACGTAAACAAAGGGACAGCAAATCTTCTGAGAATTCGGACAAACCATCTTATGCACAAACATGACATGTTATATGAATGCTAAACACAAAACCTGGATAATACAACTACTCTGACTTACAGAATCTTGTCACAGTTAAACGAGCAGTGCAGCCGCTCTTGTTGCAGTCCTTCTTGCAAGGCAACTGAAAGCAACGCAGAACAAGTCAAATTTTAACAGTCCTAATTTTTCTAAGGTAGCAGATTCAGAATATCTTTACGTATATAAATACATTCTCTGAAAACCAAAATTCCCATGACCTCGATTTAAAGAGAAGTTGGAAATACAGGGCCCTCTAGTGATCAGTCAGTCCTAAAGTGACCATGTTTTGTAACTCAGCTCCCGGGAGAAGGGCTCTTAGCAACGACATGAAAAATCTTCACTGGGGACAAGGTGGTGATAAAGAAATGGCAGTTGTTTACCCCTGGATTGCCACAAAGCAATTATTAATTCCTTTTCCAGAGATTATATGTTTTTCTTGAATCAATATGTTGCTATGCTGTGCCAGCTTACAGGGACGCTGGTCTGTAGAGACGAGGTGATTTCCTTTAGCAATAGTTTTATTCACCAATAAAAATCTACGGTCTGTGTCTGATGTTTCCAGAGAAGTTCGATAATAATTAATAATTAGATGTTGGTTGCATAAGTACTAAGCAATGCTGACCAACACTCAAGAATCTCATTAATTATTCTTAGGAAATAAACATACCATCAACATCAGATTCCCTAAGAGTACTGCGACTGTTGCAATTAGTGTTCGTTATTGCTCAGTGCTAAATGTTGTCCTAAATTCTCTGTCCTGT